CCTTCTATACGAAATTATCATGACACTAATTGCAATTGTATATCCATTAGTAAATGTATTTCAACATTTCGTCGATGTATTATCTGTCAACAAATGTTTCATTCGTTATTTTATGGAAGATGTTCCACCTCCAATAGTTATTTCGTGCAGTTGAATACCGAGACATCATCAAATAAAAAATTTATTTTCGGAAAAATTGTTCTTTTTTTCAAACATAATCAAGAAACGTTCGCAGTAATTGAGCAATTTGAACAAAAAAGGTTATTCAGTGATTATTTTAAAAGCACACAGTATTACGCATTATTGCGCGAACCTTTAGATACATTTTTTTTCGTATTATATAGAGAATCACGAAGAAACCATTTAAACATTCCAGTAAAAACAGTTTTAAACCACTGTGTTGTATTCGAATTTAACAATGAATTAATTGTAACCCCTATCTCGTCTTACAGCGAACATGACTAAAAACAGAGCATTGGGAATTACGAACAAACGTTCTTTTCTGATCTATTTTAAAACAGTTTGCTCGAGCCTCGGGTTTTCTGATGGCTTCCATTGAGCATTTCAAGAAGAGAAATAATGAACGTCGGGATTTCTGACAAAACGTTCTAATCTCTTTGAACAGATATATCAACCATTTTTTATCATTGAAACATCGGGATTTCCGAGAAATGTTTCAGTACTCTATTGACGTTTTCTATCATTATTAGAACGTTCGGGTATTCCGTAACCCCCTCGAACAGGACGGGCTCTACGTGCCGATGGGGAGAAACATTGTTGCTCGAACAATGACCAACAGTCCTGCAGTTGAATGATTGGTTTCTGACACTTGAAAAATAACGAAAGTACAAAAGCGACTAGGTTATATTTTTAGTTAGAAAAAGAGTTAGTATTTGAAGTGTATTGGATGTTTTTATCAGCAGGATATTCGCTCTTCTTTACTGCAAATCCGTTGTAAAGTCAAGTGATCTTAATAGCATGTTTTTTTTGCTGACATTTCTTGAGGATCAAATATTTTCACTATCAACTTTTTTTTACCATTATAGCTCCTATATCGAATTTAATACGTTGTTGTTTTTGTTCTAGATACAGAGAATTCCGTCTTGATGTCAGATATTGAAGATATTCGACAATCATTAAAGAAGAGGAGGATATTGTTTTGTGGAGATTCCATTACTCGTGGAATGTACAAAGATTTATGCTTATTGTCTGAAGTTGATAATGATAATAATCGTTTATTAACGCATTCTGAATTGAAATATGATGGTGATGTAAAAATATTTAATGATATCGTACATTTATTTAAAAAAGATCGCAGGAACAGTTATAATAATGTCGAACGTCGTGAATATAAGAACAACAATTTTTCATTATCGTATATTTTCCTCAGTCGTGTTTTTAATGAAGAAATTGTAAATTTGTTGAAAAGTGTGTCCAAATATGATTTAATTATATTAAATAGTTGTTTGTGGGATTTATCTTATTATGGTGAACGCAATTATTTAAAAAATGTTCAACATTGTTTCGATGAATTAAAGAAAACAGGTGTTAAAACAATTTGGTATACATCATTGCCTGTGTGGAACAAACAACTCGATCGTAAACTATCCCATTGTGACAAATCAACGAAATCTATGGCTGCTAAAAATAATACACATGTATTGGATCTTCGTCTTATAATGCGTAATAAACAAATGTTAATGAATGCAGATGGAATTCACTGGAATGCGCAAGGACATCGAACTATAACAAAATCGTTAATTGTGGCTAATCAAGTATTTAGATCACCGTCATTGGCACCGATTACTATTATTCAAGAAATGGAGAGAAATTTTAATGAGCATTCAGAGAGAAAGTCAAGTGAAGCAAGTAACATTGGTGAAACACGGCAATCCTATAAACTGTTCTTATTTTCTTATTGTTTTGATT